GCAGCTCTACGCGTGTTTGGGCGTGTTTTCCTCTGAGATGCAGCATCGGGGAAACGTTTGTGTTTTTCTTTAAAATTTATGTGATTGCTGTACCTCCAAAAAAAATTTCCTTCGTTTTGGCAAGAGATTGTTTCTTGCTTCTTGAAATGAAGACTGGCCATCGGGATAGTTATTTAAGAAAACTTTTTTAAAAATGAAGATTGTCTGCCATCTCTTGAAACAGTGTGTGTGTGTGTCCTGTGCCAGATACCGCTAATGTATTAATGTTCTTCTTGTTTTTGTAAAATTAAATTTTGGCTTCTTCCTATCTTTTTTTTGGAGGGGGGTAGGTAATTAGGTTTATTTATTTTAATGGAGGGACTGGGGATTGAACCCAGACCTCGTGCATGCTTGGCACGTGGTCCACCGAGCCGTACCCTCCCCTCAAATTTTGGTTTCTTCTTAACAGAACCTTCTCTGTGACCTATTTAAAATTAATTTTATATCATTTCTCTCTTTTTAGTTAACTTTTTTCTTAGGGCTTTTTCCATCTAGAGTATGAGCACAGGTGGGTTTTTATATTAAATGGAACTAGGGATTACGCTGGAAAAGTGTGCATACAAGCCAGCACCTGTTTTTGCAAGTGTGTGGATGGTTGCTGAAGGTAGCTTGAAAGCTGTGTTTTCTTGCAGGTGAAGCCCCTGCTCAAGTTGTTGGCGTGGGTGCAGCTTTTTAAAGCTTTTTGCTCAAGCTGTGCCACTTTTTACCACTTAGTAAAAAAGCCAAGCAAGTCTTAAAATTATTTTAAGAAATTCTGCTGTGTTTGAAAGGTACCGTCTAGATGCTTTCCCCTCTGACCCAAATTCAGTTCCACTGATAGTCAGTGAAGGCTGCTGACGGAGTGTCGTGGGTAGTGTGACGGTGCCGCCTGCGAGGCTGTTCCCCGCGGTTCAGCTGAGCCCTCGTTCCGTGGGAACTTACAGCCACCGCATGTGAGCTGATCCCAGGCACGCGGCCCGTGAAACGACGAGAGGCTGAACTGACATCTGGTACTAGAACTCTTACATGTGCTGCATCCTCACCTCAGTGCGATGAAGGGTTGAGTCCTTTCCTTTGTGTTATTGTGGAAACCGCTCCTTCATATTTGGAAAGTGAAGTCTCTAGTGAGATTCCTTTTATTTTTAAGAGAGAGCAGAAGCAGGTGTGTGTGTCGCCCCTTTGCCGAGACCTCAGAGACAGGAGACACCCTCTTCTGACCTCTTCAGTTGTTTGTTATATTAAGTAGAAGATTGCCTTTAGGATTTTTGGTAAAGAGTTTGAAAATGTGTGCTTGTTCTCTTTATAAACGTCACTGATCAGAGGAGACAGAGCCCGCGGTTAAGTAAACCCTGTGTCCCTGCCTAAGCTTCTGTCACACAGCTCCCAGAATTTTCCCGGATGAGAACCTGGCTGGTCTGTATGGGACATGTGTGCTAGATGCTCTGTGAGAGTTATTTACATAAAGCATCACTTTGTATGTATGTGTTTCCATTTCTGCAATGAAATGCACCTGCCTTTGTTTTTGACTTGGTAACAACTGAGGTTACAACAGAGTTCGTTTTGATGGGAGATATTTGAGGGACTTTAAAGTGAAGGGGGAAGAAAGTATCTCTCAATTTTAACCCAAAGCATTTCCTTAAAATAAAAAGTAGTTGGTGTATAACAGAATTCTATCTCTGTGTTAGACCAGCTTTCTTAAAATTGTCTCCATCAATGCATCTGGCTTCAATTTTTTCCCCTACTAAGCATCTGAGCGGTTGGTAATTGAATTCTGACATGTTGAATGATTTTAATGAAACCCTCTGTGTGTGTGTTTATGCTTGGGGGACGGGGAGAGGGAGGAAGAGGAGGCAGGGGTGGAGGGGCTGAAGAAGCATCGTCTCTTCACATTAAGGATAACGGGTAGTGGTTCACGGTCGTAACTCTCAGAGCGTCTTAGTCTCTGGTAAGTGGTGTTTACTGCAGAGGAAGTGGCTCTTGATGTTAACCCAAGTGCATGATGCCCACAGCGTGGCAGGGCCCAGGCGGGAGGGACAGGGGACCTGGGAGGCTGTTACCTGGGAGAATCTGCAGGGAACCTGCAGCCACCTCCCTGCTGCCGCGGGAAGGGAGACGCTAACCGACACGTGTCCTTCTGTCCTTGCCAAGTGATTTCTTTTCTTTTTCTTTTTCTTTTTCTTTTTCTTTTAACTTTGAGGCAGACGTCTGAAGAGAACAAGAAATTAATTTTTAATTGCTGTTTTTCTTTTCTTTCCCTTTTCCGTGTTGAACGTTGGATTTGAAAGGAGGGCGGTGGGGACTGGAGTGTCGCACGCAGTGGTTATCGCTGGTGCCGGCGGAGCTGAGGGCGGGAGGCAGAGTTCAGGGGTGTGTACTGGGGGGGTGTCGTGGGCTGTCCTGAGGGTCCAGTGCCTGGGTGAAGTCACAGCTGTCACAGCTTTTGCCCTCATCTCCTTTGAGTGTAGAGTCTTCTGATTTAAGGATACGAGGAATTCTTTGATAGCCGCCTGGTGCCTCCCTTTCCCCTCCGCTGTGTCCCCGAAGCTAACACACGGACTCCTGCTTTGGACCCTGTGCTCTGTGAATGAGGTGGTCTCACTTGACCTCGGTTAATAAGCAGAGTTGGTGTAACAGGTGGGCTCCAGCACCTAATCCAGCGGTGAGAAAACTGGGCTGTGTTAGTTTTGATGAGTGCAAACGTGATTTATAGCAGTTGAAGAAAAATTCTAAAGAGACTGCTTTCATTTTAAGTGACAGGAGCCCTTGGGAATGTGAAACATGTTCCTTTGCTGCCTCTGGGTAGCTGTCTAAGAGAGCTGTCTGTGGCAGCCAGTACGTGTCTCAATTCTGAGTTGCCTGAGTCGGCTCAGCCGACTGAGAAGTCCAGGTTAGAGCAGGTGCATGAAACGGAAGTCTCCTTCCCTACGTAGTCTCCCCACCACCCCCGGCCGCCAGTTCAATATTTTTCTTCCAAGTTCTCAGCGGCAGAAAATTGATTCACTTCAAACAGTACATATAAGTCCTCTATTTGTAGTTTTAACTTGGACTCTTGTTTCTGACAAAAGAGTAGAATCAATTCTAGTGAAAATTCATGAGGGATCAGGAGTTAAAAGAGGGCTTTCCTCAGTGGAGACCAACTGGACTCTGATTCTCAGATTTTCCTTAAAATCTGTTTGCTTGAAATTGGTTCCCGGGAAGTTATTTGGAGTAACTTTTTCAGCCTCAGTTTAGGTTAGGATGGCACATGGCTTTCAGGAGGTCTCCAAAAGACAGTGTAAGAGTGAAGGATGTAGGGGGCTGGACACAAACACGCTACCGAGTATGCATGGCAGCTTGGTCACGGGAAGCGTTCCTGTTTCTTTCGGCTCACAGCGGAGTGTGATTCGAGTCCCTGTTGCTACAGGTGTAGATACTCCAGAGAGCACGGGACTGATCGACGCACCCTTCCTTTCCGCTGAATCCTTCTGTTACGTTTCATCTTTTGAGTCAAGAGGAACCACGCGGGGCGTTGTCGTCACTGGCGTCACCGCGTGCCTCTCCCAGCTTGGCGGCGCTGCAGCAGCCCGCCCTGTGCGGCGCGCGGACGGGAGGGTTTGCATTTCATCAGAGAGCGTTCTTTGGTGCAGCCAGACTGCCCTGCGTGAAACAGAACCTCACTTACGGGACTCAGTCAGAGTATTTTACAGTGTTATCTCTGAGAAGAATGGAACCTTAAGAAAAAAGAATGTAACGTACATCCTGGAAATGTGAATACTCATGTCTAAATCTCTTTTTTTTAATAGAGGAAAATGAGAGCAACAGATATGCCAGCTTTTTATTAGGAAGGATGTTAAGCGATAGGTGCCGTTGCCTCACGGGTGGGAGGAAAATCTGACTTGCCTTTGACGGATTTCAGGTTCTAGGTTTCTGAAGACAAAGTGTCAAAAAGGACTTTCTTGCACTTTGCACGTACAAAATGTGAGCTGCACTACGATCAGCTAAGGGTTGCCTGGACCGAAGACAAAAACCCTTTGGTATCTTTTGCTGGTATGAGTATTCAGAAAGCTGGAGAATGGATGAGCAAATCTTACTCTTTGTTTTATGGATTAATGAAAGGCAGCACTTTACTCTTAGTCTTCTGGTCCTACAAGAATTTAAAGAGGGAATGCTTAGAATGTGGTGAATCCAGTTCTTTATCCTACTTGAACACTGTTTGGTTTCTTCTTATTTTACAGTCTCCTGTTGTCCGTGACCTTAAAGTCCTGCAGGACTGTATTTGTCTTTCTGATAGGAACCCACGTTTACGTCCCCAAAACTTGCTTCTTCAACTTGCATGGAATGTCAGGGCTGGTGCGTTTCGGTTGGCTAACCAAACTGTTCGTCCTTAGCCAGACTGGTCACTTGTATCCAGTTGTCACGTTTAGTTTTCTTGTATGAGATTAAGAGAAAACCTTGCTCTCTTGAATTGATTTGGAAAAATCTCCCTCTCTTTTATTTCCTTTTTTGACTTAGTTTGCCAGCAGTTGTCTACCTGGAGAATATAATCTGAGCGATGATGCTGCTTACTTAACTTTCCCATCTGGGCTCGACCTTGTGGGAGAGAAAGCCTTGGCATTGAGTCTTGTGACTTAGGTCTCCTCAGAGCCGGCTGGAAGCCCAGTTTGGAGAGTGGTTCACAAACAGCTTTGAGTTTTTAAGTAATCAAGCCTTTGCGACCTGTCTGCCTCGCACAGACGGCGTTATTCCCTCTGTTGTGGAGAAAAGCCGTTGCGGGCTCTGCTGCCTGACTAACGTGGCCCCCTGCTCTTAACAGCTTGCTTCTTCACCCCCCTTTACTTCTCTCTTCCCTTGTTTTATTCTTTCCTCTGTGTTCCAGTCTTTGGGGCTTAGATTTACTTCTGAAGGGAAGAGCCTTTAATAAGCAAACAGCCCTTTCTTGACAAATAGGCTCCCCTTAGGTTAAGAAATTCATCTGCTTCACCTCGTCTTCCGTCGTTTTCCAGGACAGTCTCCGTAAGAAGGATGACAGGATTGAAGAGCTGGAAGAAGCACTAAGAGAAAGTGTGCAGATCACTGCGGAGCGAGAGATGGTGCTCGCCCAGGAGGAGTCAGCCAGGACCAGTGCTGAGAGACAGGTCTGCGATTCTGTTCAGTTACTGGCAGTGCTGCTGGTTAAACAGAAGGTAAAACCCAACCAGTATAGTTTAGGGAAACTGTCCGTACCGTGTGCTTGTGGAGTTTCAAAACCACTGATGTAAGTATCCAGGCTTAAATGAGCGCTGAAATGTGGTTGTGTGGGAGCCGACTGAGGCAGTGCAGCGTCTCTGCGCTGAGCACCCTGGGCCGACTGGGGCCGGGGCGCGAGCCGGGCCGGCCGAGGAGACGCGCTGGAACCGGCCTGTGCGCAGCAGGACCAGGCGCAGCCCTGCCTGCACCGCGAACGGGAGAGCGGACGTTCCGAGTCAGGCATGTGAGCCTGAGTAGCGCAGAGCTTCTGCACGTGATGCCCTGTCTCGTTCACCAGAGCACTTAAAGCTGTGACGAGGTAAGGGTGACAGCAGGCGTGAAGGGCCAGACGTCGTGGCCTGGGAGTCCAGATCAGCGTGTCTCTGCCTGGAGGTGACTTGTTAAAGAATCCTGCTGTCGCTGTTTGTTTTATACGTTTTTATGCATCTTTTTAGATCCTCATACCCTTGCTTTTAACTTTTTAGTAAGAAGAGTGACTAAAGATGGGAGAAGTGAATGAAGAAATAGTTTTCAGCAGTGAGGGCTCTAATCTCGCTCCCATCATGAGACTGTGCTTTGAGGTTCTGAGTCTACCTTACACACAGATCCACGCCATGTCAGTTCATTTCTTCTGTGGTGTTTCCATCTTTCTGTTGGAGAAATATAAGTGCTAAAGAGATAAAAAGTGTTCAGGGAGAGGGTAACAGGGATCTTTGGGGAGCCCTTTGATCAGACCGCCAGAGCGCCTGTGAGCTAGGGTAGGTCCAGAGCAAGGAAGACGGGTACCTTCCAGAGCAGACGTGCCGTGGTGTGCACCACCCGGGAGCCCTTGGTAACTAGGTACCAGGGTGGGTTCTTCAGCGTCAGGTGTAGAAGAAAGACAAACTGACGTTTATTAGCACGGCCAAAGGGAAACTGATCATTCCAGAATGCGTGTCTTTCAGCGCCCCGTTCTTAGATGAACACCGTGGTCCACTTTCTGCTTGAGTGTTTATTAATGTACAGTAAGCAGAGCTCGGGAGGTGGGGCCTGTCAGGGAAGGGGTGGCTTCAGCTGCCGTTGCAGGATCAGGAGAGATTTTCTTTTATCTTGATTTTACCTTTTTTGCATCCTTTCCTTTATTTTCAAAATGTTCCCCATTTTTTCTTTCTGTAAAGTTTTTTTTCTGCTTTGGGATCATTATCTAATGACAAGCCTTACATTCAGAGATCATGTGGACATTTTGGCCGTCAATGATAAATCATGTCACAGTACATAGGCTGCTGTTACGTGTTCTTTTTTAAGCTGTTGTTGTGTGAACTGGTTATAATTTGCTTTCTGGGGCTGAGAGATTGATTAACTGATAATTAATAGATTTTGTTTTATTTAAAAATTGTTTTACTTTATTTGTTTTGGGAGCGTACATAGGTATGTATGTATGTGTTTCAGTGGGGGTGCTGGGGGTTGAACCCAGACCTCGTGCAAGCTAAGCACATGCTCTACCACTGAGCTATGCCCTCCCCTCTAGACTTTGTTTTAGATCAGTTTTTAGGTTTACAGGAAACTTGAGCAGCAAGCACAGAGTGTCCGCGTACGCCTTCCTTCACCTCGGTTCCCCTGTTAGCATCTTGTGCTGGTGTGACAGATACGAGAGAGACGGTTGTTATGGGTCATGAGCCAGCACTGACGCGCTGCTGCCTGGTCTGTAGTTCGCGTTTTGGTTTACTCTTTGTGTTGAACACTTCATGGGTTTTACTAGCTGTAGGATGGCACGCATCCACCACTGCTGTGTCACACCGAGTAGTTTCAGTCCCTGCAAGTTCTCGATGCTCCGCCTCGCCCTCCCGCCCCGTCTCCTGGTTCCTGGCCTTTGTCCTGCTGCCTTTTCAGACTGGCTTTTTCCCTTTAGCCCTCTGCATGTAAGCTTATCTCGTGTCTCTTTGTGGCCTGAGAGCTTGTTTTGTTTTGTCTCTGAATAGCGTTCCTCTGCGTGGGTGTGCCCACACGGTGTTTATTCACTTATGGAAGAACACCTTGATTGCTTCCAGTTTTTTGGTAATTAAGAATAAAGCTGCTATAAACATTCATGTGCAGGTTTTTGCATAGACATGAATCTACAGCTCGTCTAGGTGAACGTCTGGAAATATGATTGCTAGATTATGCGTAAGACTGTATTGAGCTTTATAAGAAACTGAAAATATCTTCTCAAGTGGCTGTAAATAATTCCCTTTTAATTGCATGCCTTTTTCTTCCTCTTCCCTGCTTACCCTTCTCCCACCGCTCCGCCCCTCACGGCCTGTCTGGGGCTGCTGAGTGAGACCCTGCACGAGCCAGCGCTTGGGGCTTTCAGTGGCGGAAAACATGAGACGCTGCTCTAGTGTTTGTGCTTCTGAGGCCGTGTCCTCTCCAGCTCTCGTCTGCTGTTCTTTTCTTTTCTTTTTTATCTTTTCCAAGCTTTCTAACCCCACTGTTAATTTTCCTTGTACATATTAATTGTCTGCACCAAGGCAACCTACAAATACTCGTTTGGAATATCTTAAATGAGGGAGGCTTTTTTTGGCAAGGGACACTATTCTCTTTCTCTTCCTCGGCCCCAGATTTATCTGTCTCTTCCCTAAATTTAGCCTCTGAGAAGAAGGGCCTCTGTCTGGTTGGAGGAGGGTGTCTGCGTCCCTGAGTTTCTCATGGAGCAACATGCAGTTGTGTGGGAACCGCTGTCTTATTAAAATCAAATGCAGAGCCTTCTGCAGTTTGAGCAGGAAGAACTCTCAGAGGAAATTTTTGATGCTCTTCCTGTGTTCGTACAGCTTCCCCTTCATTCTCCGTGTCCCTCATACCTGCCACCTAATACATTGGGTTTTGGGGAGGGGGTTGCACGTGAAAAGAATGTTTTAAATATCTTTACTGGTATTATTTAAGAGTAAATTTAATTTTTGAAGGAGCTATTTGCAAATAGATAGCTAACTAAATGTTTTTAAAATCGCTGTAAAGTACTAAGACTTTTTCTTGTAGCTCGGTAAACTGGATTGTTACTTCTTCCTACAGTGTATTTTTTAGTGTTTTGAGCAATGAGAAAGATACATCCTCTCAGACTAACATTTGCACATGAGTTCTGAGTTTTATTTTCAAAGCTCTTTTTTTTTTTGGCTTTATTTTGTAGGGGGAGGTAATTACGTTTATTTATTTATTTTAATGGAAGTACTGGGGATTGAACCCAGGACCTCAGGCATACTAAGCACACACTCTAACACTGAGCTGTGTTCTCCCCCAGGTGTAAATCCTTGACCTAGAAGACCAAAACATTTTACCAGTGATTTGCAAGATGGTTATCGATGAGTGAGCATTTACATCTTTTTAATTCTTTTTTTGATTCCAGTTTTAAAACTTTTTATTTGCATATTAAAAATTGTACACTCCAGTGATTAAAATCATTTGAACAACAACAACAAAATGACACTTGATTAAGGTGCGTTTCCAGCCTGCAGGACGCCTTGGGCAGCCTGGTGTTCCCCTCGATTTCACGGCGGCCCCGCCGCAGGGCTGCCCATCCCCTTCCTCCCCCGCGGCGCACCGCCTCGCCGGTGGTTTTGGTTCTTTGACCTGACCTTGGGCAGCGCAGTCATCTGAACTTGACGCGGCCTCTTTTTGCGGAACGTGCGGTGCGTGTGGGCAGCGCCCGCCCCCTGGCACTGGGCCCGCTTGCTTGTCCTGCCTGAGTGCTCCTCCGGAGGCGGCATGTCCCCACCTGTCCCCGTCTCAGCCGGGCTGCTGTGTCAGCTGCGGTCGCACAGGAAGTGGGGCTGGACGCCGAGAGCGAGTCCAGGCTGCACGGTGGCCACTGCCACGTGTGCTGCCTGTCTTTACTCGTGCGGATTCATTAGCTGCTCTGGCCCAGCCGGTCACGCGGCAGTTACCTCCGTGGTGCCCGCCACCGTGGCAGCGCGGGTGACGGGGTGGCCCGTGGACGCGCTGTGCGGTAACGGAGCATGGCTGTGCCACCCGTCCTTCCCACGGCCTTCTGACTTTCACCTGTTCGCAAGGTGGACAGCTGCTGGTTTGGTCTCATGAACAGCATCCTGTACTCATCTGAGATTTTATAATAAATTACATTTTCCTCATTTTTCATTAAGTGGCAGTAATGCTCAGAAAATACTTTACGTGCGCTACCTTTTCTCTAAACATTTGTTGAATCCCATGTAGTTTTCCAGATGCTGTACTAAGCACCGGAAGTAAAACAGTGGTAGATACAGCCTCCGCCTGCGGGGGTTCACGTTCACTGGGCAAGACTGAGGACTGACGTATAATTCTGGTTCAGTTTGGTGAGTCCCAGCAGCAGTGGTCTGAGAAGAGAGCCTTAGAATAGGAGAGGAAGAGCAGCTGAGTAATACATATTAGAGGCATCCTGGAAGGCTTCCTGGAGGAGACGGCTTATGCATGAGCCAGTCTTAGAGAAAGAGTGAGGCACAGGGGGGTGACAGTCAGTGTTCTCCGTGTGGGCGGGCCAGCGTAGGTGCGAGCTGGTGGCATCTGGGGAACCTCAGGGAGTGTTTAGTAGCTGCGGTTCGGGGTTGATACGAATGGCCAGACCTGCGGGAGGAGGAGGGCAGTGCATGCGGTGGTACAGAAGCACATTTAGTCGTGGACTCTGCAGCTTTGATTTTATAGTCGAGGCAGTGCAGAACCATGGAAGCTTTTTAAGCAGAGAACGATACTGATTTGTGAGACTGCTTGCTCTTTCGTTCATTCGGCAGATCCTTATTGCATGTCCGGTGGCTCTGCGGTGCCAAAGCTGCAGTGGTCTCCCCTCCCAAGAGAGCTTACAGTCCGCAGAGGGACACAGACACCAACCTGACAATTGGCACTTAATTACAAGTCATCACCAAGTGCTGTAAAGGATAAGAACAGGATTTCCGGAATAGACAGTAATTCG